GGCAATGCCAAAGAATGTTCAAACTATCGCACCATTGCACTCATTTCACATGCTAGTAAAGTTATGCTTAAAATCCTACAAGCTAGACTCCAGCAGTATGTGGATCGAGAACTACCAGAAGTACAGGCAGGATTTCGAAGAGGCAGAGGAACTAGAGATCAAATTGCCAACATACGCTGGATCATGGAGAAAGCTAGGGAGTTCCAGAAAAACATCTACTTCTGCTTCATTGACTATGCAAAAGCCTTTGATTGTGTGGATCACAACAAATTGTGGCAAGTTCTTAAAGAGATGGGAGTACCAGACCATCTCATTTGTCTCTTGAGAAACCTATATGCGGGTCAAGAAGCAACAGTGAGAACCGGACATGGAACCACTGATTGGTTCAAAATTGGAAAAGGAGTCCGGCAAGGCTGTATACTGTCGCCCTGCCTATTTAACTTATATGCAGAGCACATCATGAGAAAGGCAGGGCTAGATGAATCAAAAGTTGGAATTAAGATTGCCGGGAGAAATATCAACAACCTAAGATATGCAGATGATACTACTCTAATGGCAGAAAGTGAAGAGGAACTAAAGAGCCTCTTGATGCGGGTGAAGAAGGAGAGTGCAAAAGTTGGCTTGAAATTCAACATTAAGAAAACCAAAATCATGGCATCCGGCCCTCTCAATTCCTGGCAAATAGATGGGGAAGAAATGGAGGTAGTGACAGATTTTATTTTTCTGGGCTCCAAGATCACCTCAGATGGGGACTGCAGCCAAGAAATTAAAAGACGCTTGCTCCTGGGGAGGAAAGCTATGGCAAATCTAGACAGCATACTAAAAAGCAGAGACATCACCCTGCCAACAAAAGTGCGTATAGTCCAGGCCATGGTTTTCCCAGTTGCAATGTATGGCTGTGAAAGTTGGACCATAAGAAAGGCTGAATGCCAAAGAATTGAGGCCTTTGAACTATGGTGCTGGAGAAGACTCCTGCGAGTCCCTTGGACTGCAAGGCGTTCAAACCGGTCAGTCCTAGAAGAGATCAAACCCGACTGCTCTTTAGAAGGCCAGATCCTGAAGTTGAAACTCAAATACTTTGGCCACCTAATGAGAAGGAAGGACTCACTGGAGAAGGGCCTAATGCTGGGAAAGATTGAGGGCAATAGAAGAAGGGGACGACAGAGAATGAGATGGCTGGATGGAGTCACTGAAGCAGTAGGTGTGAACTTAAATTGACTCCAGAAGATGGTAGAGGACAGGAAGACCTGGAGGAACGTTGTCCATGGGGTCACGATGGGTCGGACACGACTTCGCAATTAACAACAACAACAACAATGACATGGTCACTTATACCCATGGTTCTGGCAATTTCAACTCCCTTTATCACTTCTTCTCTATTAGTAGAAATTAAGTGTAGTATATCTTTTTCCCTAGTTACCTACTCTACCTTTTGGATGACAAAGATGTCAGCTAAGTTGGTTAGGAATCTGTTCGATCTCCCATTTGCTGCAGTTTATCTCCCAGTTGATATCAGGGTAATTAAAGTCTTTCATTACTACTATGGTATGTTTCCTACATATATTTGTTAATTGATTAGCTTGGTTGGGTAGTCTGTAGTATACGCCTATAGCAATGTCATTCTTTTTTTCATTTTATATTTACTCATATGGATTCTTTGAGGTTTTCATCCTTGGTTTTGTGTATTTCTGTAGAGATGTAATGATCTTTTATATATAATGCAACTCCACCACCTTTTTTGTTAGGTCTGTTTCTTTTGAATAGTTTGTATCCTTCCATCATACATTTCAGTCATGAATTTCATCTCACTAAGTTTCAGTAATGGCAACTGTATCATATCTGCCTTCATGTACTAATACTTCAAGTTCACCCTCTTTGTTCCCTGAGCATTAGTGTATAGGCATTTGAGTCCTTTATTGGTCTTGGGTCTGTTTCTTGTATCTCCTACATTGTAACTTGGATTTACATCCTTTCCATCACTATTTTGGTTCACTATCAATTTGGTTCACTCACCCCGCCCAGGGGATTGAGTTTAGGCCAGTAAATCCCTTTATGTCAGGGGTGTCAAATTATCAGATGTGTCATGCTGAAACTGCACCCACCCCATTGCCAACAATGGAAAAAAAGTTGTGATACATCGTGACACGTCACGTGATATTGCAAGTTTGACACCTCTGCTTTAGGTGCAACTTACCTGAAAAAAAATGTTGGTTTTGTTGAAGTGGAAAGATAGAGTGTTATCTGCACTGCCTTACACTCTTCCATTGTCTGAATGGAAAGCTGTAAACAAAGAAACAGCTTCATACCTAAACATTGTCTGTGGTATGGTATAAAAGAACTATGTAACCATCCCCATAGATTCTTTTCTGCAAATGTTGTAAGAGTTAAAGGTGCTCAGGCAGGAATCTTTGACTGTGATAACCTGAGAAAGTCACTTTGTAAATATGAAGCAGGTGGCAGATATTGGCTATTAACTTGACAACATTGGAAATTTTCAGTAGGATTTAAAACTGGATACTAATTTATACACAAATAAGTATTCTGGAATATTGTTAATGGAGAATTTATTTTTATGCATGACTTCTTAATTTTCAATATGTGTATTTATTTAATCTTGTATAAGTTTGTGAAGGTAGAGCAGGGATAGAATGTAACTGCAAGGTAAATCTGCAAAACTGTGACAAACCTTATTCTTCTATTAACATAAGCTTATAGATGGAAGAAAGGATTATTAGCCTAATTCTCATTACACAACAGAGTGAGAAGCAGACATGGTGTAAGTTGTTTCCACATAATTGCCATTCCAAATTGTTTTACTCTAATTGATGTGATGGGACGGAATGCATAAATCTTAGATTCAAAGTACCACCTAGTTTTAAGAATCACTAATTCTTGGTCTTAACTGCTTCACTATAAGACTATGGAAAGCATTTGAAAAGAAGTGATGTACAATTCATGCTAGCATGAACAGAGCATCTCTTGGTAAATTATTAAAGTACCGTAATTTCTGGCATATAGGACGATGGCGTATAAGATGACCCCCGACTTCGGTGCCGATTTGCATGCCTAGAAAGTCATTTTATACGCTGGAAACTACCGTAATTTCTGGCGTATAGGATGACTCGGCATATAAGATGACCCCTGACTTCAGCGCCGATTTGCATGCTTTAGAAAGTCATTTTATATGCCAGAAAATACAGTAATCACATCTTTTGCAAAAGTCATGCAATTACTTCCAGAGCTGTACCCAGCATGCATGTGCTTTGCTGACAGTCCCAGCAGAAATATTTGCACACCCATATACCTGTGAAAATAGCTTTTGCAACAGTTATGCAAACACATTAAAACACATGTTCCTTTGCGAAGGAGAAGGAACAGAATTTCTTTGTATAATGGTTGTTTCAAACATATTTTCAAATGTTTTTCCTAGCTCTACTACATGAGTTTGCATACTCTCAGAGCAACTCAGAGCACAAAAAATTATAGTTGTATATAAAACTATCTGTGGATCAGCAACCAGTGATAAAATTATCACTGGTTGCTGATTTACAGTAAGTGAATAAGCAATTAATTCCACAAATATCTGGCAATTTTTTGAATCAGCACAATATTTTTTATACAATTCCTATGACAGATTTATGGATGTCATCTAACAATATAGGATTCAGACATGGTGATGTGAAATTTCAATTGTTCTGAATCTTCTGTGCATTCTCTGTTATATGAACTGGTTCCTCAACATGTGTAGGAAGTGTTCTATGCAAAACTCAAGGATGAAACTAGAGACACTTTGCTGTGTAGACAAAACTATGTGAAAGAGGTGAGATGGATGGTGGTAATGTTTTATCCCTCTCTTAAATATGCTTGGGGTTCCAATGGCAGTGTGAACTGATTCATTTTTAGAAATAAAATGAGATATCAAGGAAATCAATAGAGCTTTGATGTGATAGAAATGAGTACAAACCATGAATTTCATTATCCTGTCCATTTGCTTCCCTTAGGGCTTTTAATGCCATTTCTTACATGCTCTAAATATTTTGTTCCTACCTTGGTTTTCTCAGAAGACTACAATATTTCACTTTTATAACATCAGTAGTACTAAGCAATTGGACTGATATAATGGTGGAAATTATAGTGAGATACCCAGAAAAAAAAATAGAAAAGGAATTCTGTCTTGAAAATCAGAGCCAGAATTTTCATGTACATATATTATCCAGAGAGCACTGTAATGGGAAACAGTAAAATAATTTTAAATCAGCAATTTAGAGTACATCTGAAAATAGGACCTGGATTGGTTGCAACAACACAGTTTCTTTAATTTTTATTTTATTTTAAAAATGTTTATTCTGCTCTACAGTGAAATGTTTTTTCCAGGGAGCTTACATATCATTTTAAAATCACATATTAAAAAGAAAAGCTAAACATACTGACCAAACAGAAATGATTTCTAAGTAGCAACAGATATATGTTATAAAGCAGGCATAATATTAAAACTTGGGTATACTATTGAAAATAAACATAGAAACCTAAACCAGAATTTATAATTTCACATTTTTTATCTATTCAAGGTTAAGACTAACCAATCAGTGAGTCAACATAAGATTGATACATCAAGTTGAAGCTAATCAAAATGGGGGAAGAATGAATAAATGAAATTTTGCAAATAAGGAAAAAGGAAAAGCTGTCTCAGCTTATTATCAGTCCAATAACTCTAGACCATCTGTCAATATTATTATTTCCCACAAAAGCAATGGAATGTTGTGGTATTTTACCTAAACTGTTATGACATTACAGCAAAGGTTTACTAATATCTTTCAGATTAGAAAGATAGTAATTAGCTATAGCTGTCACTTCTTTACACACTGAACCTAAAATCTTTGTACTCGGGCACACTTTATACCATACTTTGTATCCAGTCATGTTAGATTAAAATATCATTACTTCAGAAGGTTTCAAGAAAGCAGAAATAGACAAATAGAATAAAACTTTAAAGAACTTACAATAAGGACAGCCATAGATCTCGATCCTCAAACCAATTTGACCCTCTCCACTCCATTCCAGAGGAAGTATCCGAATGTAGCGGGCAGTAACTGGATGCTGTAAATCATGTCGTACCACAGTGTCAGAATTTACATTTCCAGGAAATGCCTAAGGTGGGACAACAAAACAACATTATTATTTTAATATTTAATATATTTAATTATATATATATATATATATATATATATATATATATATATATATATATATATATATATAGTCAATTACCAATAAAAAATGAACACCAGGAATATAATAAACTATAAAAGTTTAATACCATCACCGATCACCAAGCTTTCGTCAGATACTTCTGACATCGTCAGGGTTAATGCTGGTCTGTGGGAGAGTGCCTTTATAGGTGAGCAGTCATTTGCACACGGCTCCTAGATCTTGTTGTAGGTCCTAATTGATTTAACTGCTTTTTAATTACGGCTTCCATACTGATGACTCCTCTTTTCTTGCTTTTACTGCTTGTGGGTGTGTCATTATTCCCCTCTACCTCCCACTGTCTTGAATTAGGGAGGTTCTTTCCTCCCTTTTTTTGGTCATTCGTATCTCTAAGTTGTTCCCTCTTCACACCTCCGTGTCTCCTACCTTCCTCCTTCTTCTGATCTTTACTTGCTCCCCAATTGTCATCCCTCATTCCATGGGGGCGCACTCTCAGCCTTTCTCCCCATCCCTTGCTTTCCATTTCCCTCTCTTTGGCTGCATAAACTCCGTTTCTGTCGTTGCCATTCCGTCTGACATCTACTTGCTCTTTCACTCCATTATTAATGTTCTTGGACTCCACATCAGACTGAATCCCTTGAATATCTCCTTCCTCCTCACACAAGCCCTTGTGTGCCCTCCTTTTTTGAATATGTATGCCTGGTTCCTTTATATCCCTCCATCAACACAGTGATCTTTTTTACAGTTTCTATCACATTCTACCCTTATTTGCATTTTCCCCCCCCCATTCACACTGCTCTCGATCTCTATATCCTCTCGGGCATTCCGATTGGCGCTCTGTTGTTTCCGTTGATGGACTGTCGTCACAGGGCAAGCCGGTCCCATCCTCCTTCTTTCCTGATGCTGCTGGATCATCGCTGTTTTGGGTTTCGGGCAGTCGGGAATGATTGCTTGTTAGCTAATTGCCTCTTTCTCATCATGCAATCATTCTCTCACTGTCCGGGAGCGTGTGCATGGTCCTGGAGCAGGGGGGGAGGAGTCCCTCAATTGTTGATTATTCTCCTGAATGTCCATGGGCCGTTGATGTTGTTGTGGGGGGTGAAAATTCATCCCCTCCATAACTTCTTCCCTAGGGTTACGTGGTACTGTCGCAGGGTGTCTCCTTAGGGGTGGGTGGTCTCGCCTGCTTCATGCTCTTAAAGTTAGATGTGCCGGGCACAAATCGATGTGCCGGTTGACAGAGTCCCCGTCAGAGAGCCATGCCTCTTTTAGTAACCGGCCCTCTTTCGTGTTGTCACCGGACAGGATGCATACATTGTCAAAGTCAAAGCAATGTCCAGAATCCGCCATGTGCGCCCATACTTGGGAGTGCTGTTCCCCCCTTTTTACCGCTAATTTATGCTCATGGACCCTAGTCTTCATTCTTTTTGAAGTCTCTCCAACATAATTAACGGGGCAATCTTTGCAGTTGATTTTATATATGATTGCCGATTTTTCAGTGTTGGGAAGCGGGTCTTTTGGGCGCATCACTTTGGATCTTAAAGTTTGATCAGGTCTGTGAGCCACCCTCACTTTATGGGGGGCTAACAACCTGGCTGTTGCTTCTGAAACATTGCTGATGTACGGGAGGGTGACATGGGTTATCTGTGATGGGAGTTCCTCCATATCCGAGCTCATCCGGGGTTTGGGTGGTATACTACAGCGTCTGATGAACCTGGTAGGGTAACCATTGCGTCTGCATATTTGGAAGAGATGGTTTCTTTCTTCCCTTTTAGCTTTGGCTGTGCTGCAATGGGAGTCTATTCGTCTAAATAGCGTTCTTATGCAGCTAACTTTGTGGGTCATAGGATAGTTACTAGCATAATGCAGAATTCTATCTGTATGCATAGGTTTTCGGTATACCCTCGTGCTCAGGGTCCCATCTGGCTGGCGGTGGACCATTACGTCCAAGAATGCCAGTCTCCCCTGGTTCTCCTCCTCCTCCGTGAACTGAATGTTAGGGTATACCGAGTTGAGTGTGCCCACAAAGTTAGCTTTATGCTCCCTTTTGATGACCACGAATGTGTCGTCAACGTAGCGGGCCCAGAATTTAGGTTGGTATTGGGCCATCGCTACATGCTCTAGTTGTTGCAGCACAGTCTCCGCTATGACGCTAGAGATTGGGGACCCCATGGGTGTTCCTTTGACCTGTTCATACATGGTACCTTGAAATGTAAAAAAGGTTTTTAAGCACACCTCTAAAAGGTCCACTAGATCGTTAATTCGGAGGGAGTCTTGTAGTTGTTGCCCCAGGCCCTTCTGGTTCAAGCAGTCCTTTATTACCGTGACCGCGAGATCCTGTGGGATAGAGGTGAAGAGCGACACGACATCAAACGACACCATTAGCTCATCATCCTCTATCCTTAGGGTCCTAATCATATCTAAGAACTCCCCTGCTGACCTTATAGTGGTAGTGCTATCGCTGACCAAGTGACTGATAAGGTTACTCAGCCACTTGGCCAGACCCGAAGTCGGGGTGTTCTTAAATGCCACAATAGGGCGGAGGGGGACACCGTCCTTATGGATCTTGGGTAGCCCGTAGAATCTGGCCATTGCCGAGTCCACGGGACGTACCCTTCTCAAGGTGTCATCCCCTATCCTCCCCCCACGTTTAAGGCCATTAAGTATCTTATTGACGCGATTTTTAAGCGCCGTCATGGGGTACCTCTCTATTACCTTATACGCTGTAGTATCCTTAAGTAGTTCAAGAGCTTTGTTGGTATACTGCACCCTGTCCATCACGACTGTGGCCTTTCCTTTATCTGCGGGTAATACCACAATGGAGTTGTCTTTCTTTAGTTGTTCCATAGTCTCCATTTCGTCTCTCTGTAGTACCTGATGGTTTTTGTGGTTCATCAACAGTCCTGTGACTTGTTGCCTGATAAAGTTCTTCCCCTCTTCCCCCACCTCAATACGGCCCATAGCAGGTTCTAATGCTGCTACAAAATCCAGTGTATGGGGGTCCATGAGGTTACATCCTGCGTCCTGTTGTAATAGGGTAAGTTGTGAGGGGGTGAGTGCTTTTGTTGAGAGATTACATACCAGCCTCACAGGGGGGTTTCTTTTTCCAGATTCTCGGAGGTTTGCTGGTTTGCTCTTCTGGCAGTTGTCCGAATATGTTGCGCTAATGCCTGAAAATGGTAGTCCATCAATTCATTTTGGCATTGTTCCCGATGTTCCTGAGTCCATGTCTTTAGACTATTGATCCGTCTATGTAGGTCATTGATAAGCGCTCGTATAGTGCGGCGCTGATATTGACGGACAACTTGCCGGCATTCCATGGAGTTGATAGCAGGTTTTTTCCTGAGTGACTTAGGGGGAAGGTCCTCCTTGAGGCAGGCATGTAAGAATGCCAGTTTGCAGTAATTAGTCGAAATGCGGTGCACAAATCTCTCCCACTTCCTCGCCATGAGCAATACTGCTCTGTCATAGTTATTAATAAGAATAGTGAAAATAAAAATATGATTCCTGGGTGAATCCATAGTCAATTACCAATAAAAAGTGAACACCAGGAATATAATAAACTATAAAAGTTTAATACCATCACCGATCACCAAGCTTTCGTCAGATACTTCTGACATCGTCAGGGTTAATGCTGGTCTGTGGGAGAGAGCCTTTATAGGTGAGCAGTCATTTGCACAAGGCTCCTAGATCTTGTTGTAGGTCCTAATTGATTTAACTGCTTTTTAATTATGGCTTCCATACTGATGACTCCTCTTTTCTTGCTTTTACTGCTTGTGGGTGTGTCATTATTCCCCTCTACCTCCCACTGTCTTGAATTAGGGAGGTTCTTTCCTCCCCTTTTTTGGTCATTCGTATCTCTAAGTTGTTCCCTCTTCACACCTCCGTGTCTCCTACCTTCCTCCTTCTTCTGATCTTTACTTGCTCCCCAATTGTCATCCCTCATTCCATGGGGGCGCACTCTCAGCCTTTCTCCCCATCCCTTGCTTTCCATTTCCCTCTCTTTGGCTGCATAAACTCCGTTTCTGTCGTTGCCATTCGTCTGACATCTACTTGCTCTTTCACCCCATTATTAATGTTCTCGGACTCCACATCAGACTGAATCCCTTGAATATCTCCTCCTCACACAAGCCCTTGTGTGCCCTCCTTTTTTGAATATGTATGCCTGGTTCCTTTATATCCCTCCCTCTATCAACACAGTGATCTTTTTTACATTTTCTATCACATTCTACCCTTATTTGCATTTCCCCCCCCCCATTCACACTGCTCTCAATCTCTATATCCTCTCGGGCATTCCGATTGGCGCTCTGTTGTTTCCGTTGATGGACTGTCATCACAGGGCAAGCCGGTCCCATCCTCCTTCTTTCCTGATGCTGCTGGATCATCGCTGTTTTGGGTTTCGGGCAGTCGGGAATGATTGTTTGTTGGCTAATTGCCAAGTAGATGTCAGACGGAATGCAGACATTTCATCACCCTAACTAGGTAACATCATTAGTGCTAGTAAGGAGTGTAGAATATTGCAAGTCTTAAAGCACTACTCCCATTTTACTTTTACCTTTCAGAAGACTAGGAAGAGTCCATTTGGATGCTTCCCATATTTCTTTTCCTTCTGAGGGCTGATGTACCTTTTGCCTGATGTTTGTCTAGGCTGTGATTCTTCTTCCTTTCTCCCAAGATCATTACTACATACCGTTACTTTAACCCTATTATAGTGCACTAGCATTCTACATGTTATGAAGGATTCTATCTTGACAATATCAAAAATAAAGTTGTCACAAGGCAGAAGAAAAAAAAAATTCAAAATTCAATGGCCTATGTTTTAGTTAACTTTTGCAAACACTAAAAGGGATTTATATCAAATAAAGCATTTAAATGGCAATGTGTTAAAGATATATTTGGAGAGAATACCTACTGAATGCAAATTAATCAAATGAACATAGAATTGTTAATGTGTGGGACCTATAAAGGTGTCATATAGTTTTCATGAGTGATGAAATATGTCTTTAGCCATGAGAATAATCATAACCAAACATTCTATCATTAGATTGTTCCAAACATTTATATTTTTAGAAATTCTATTTTTATGAATAAAAGTTTATATTAAAAGAGTCTAAATGAATGCCTTTCTAAAAAATGGAAGTGGCTTGTTGGGCCTACCATTGACAAAACTCTAGCCTAATCATCATCATCATCATCATATATTAGATGTTTTCCCATAAGTTTTGGATCGAATGTAGCAAGAATCACTGAGAACTCCAAGTTGACAAAGTTCTTGAAAATGAACAGGTCAAGATCCTATGGGAACTTTGGATCCAAACAGACAGACATCTGGCCTGCAACATGCCTGACATCACTATTGTGGAAAAGAAAAAAGTCTGGTTCATTGATATTGCAATGCCAGGTGATGCATGAATTGAAGAGAAACAACTAGAAAAAATAATGTTGTGATTTGCAAACTGAAGCTGAGTGATTGTGGAGGAAGAAATCAAGGGTTATACCAATAGAAATAGGAGCCCTTGGAGCTCTTGCCTAGATACATGGAAAATTTGAATTTATTAGACCTGAATATCCTAACTTTGCAAAAAAAAACCACCTTACTTGGAATTGCCTATGTACTCAGACACTAACTTAACAGCTCTTAAGTCCTTGGTTAGGACTTGAACTGTTAAGTTTGTACCAGTCCCTGACTATGAATTGAATTGAAGATTAACAATAATAATAATAATAATAATAATAATAATAATAATAATAATAATAATAATAGTAGTAGTAGTAGTAGTAGTAATAGTAGTAGTAGTAGTAGTAGTAGTAATATAGTAAAATATAATTTACAGAAACCTATACTGCTGGGTTATTGCCTGGGTCAATAAGAACTATGCTAGGTGTTGGCTGAGCAACCAGGACCAGCAGTTGCAGAACTATTGGAAGAAAAGTTGTTTTTCCCTGTTGCAAATATACAGAAATAGAAAACAATGTCAGGTCCCTTTGGGACACTGTCATAAAAAAGGGGAGGGGGAGCATGCTGGGATGTGGATTGAGGATGTTTCTGTATTGCTAGCATTTGTTTCTACTTTCATTTTGATCTGTGTACATGGGAATTTGGGAGGAGGGAATACCCTCAGGACCATCTGTTTTCACTCCTGCTGGCTGGCAAGAAGTGCCTGGGAAGCAGTCAGTTATCACCTTTTTGGCTCAAAGTTCTTGTAACACCTTCACACCAGCAGATTGGCTCCTGATGGACTGGGACATTGGGGTGGGTCTGAAGAATGGGAATTTTAGCTTAACACTTTTGCACAGGAACTTCAGATTCCACCTTTTTACTCTGCAATCACTTTCTCTCAATAAAAGATCCTCTTTGAAACAATGCCTGTTTCCTGAGTTGTGTTTTCCTGAGGGAATAGCTGAGGCAGGTCCTTACAAACAAAGAAATAATTATCTGTTATTAAAAATTAACAAGAAGAGAATCATTGAAATGAATGCACCAGTTCTGGAAAGAAAAACATCTATAATCATAAATAATAGAAGCAATGCTAATGGTCAAGGTGGATTTATAATAAAGTATTCACAGAAGCAGAACTGAAATGACTGCTGAGGTGTCTATGCAGGGCAAAGAAATCAATGCCTTGCCAAAAGTAATTCAGTCTGTAGAAGCAAACCAAGAGAAATCAGCAGTAGAGGAAGTCAACATAGGTACTGAAATGTTTCATTGTGAAACCAGTCATTCTCTCTTCTGCCTCCCACTTAGGAAGAACAAAGCCCTCTAATTAAAATAAAAGAACTGAAACAAAGAGCCACTGAACTTCTTGATCAACATTCCCTCCGAGCGAGATCAGCAGCCCCCTTCCTGCCTCCTGCTAGTCCAGCAGTTCTCCCAGCAGCCCTTTTAGTGGAGGACAAAGGACCTGGAACAACCCATCCAACAAATGGAATCGGTGGCTGGAAGAAATTGGTGGTGGCAGAATTGGTGGAACAGAGAAATGCAGAATCAGTGGAGGGGAGAAATGCAGCAGCAGAGATGGGCAGCACAGCAGATATCTAAAAATGAGCAGACTGACCAGACAGTGGAGCTGAGCTGACCAGAAAGCTCAGACCAGCAGTCTGAGAGAGCTGACCAAAGCAGAGACAAGGCCAAAAAGACATAAGCACAAAAAGACAGAACAGAGCTGGCAGAGAAAACAACAAAGCAGCAAATGATGGAAGTGAAGGCAACAATAAAATTTGAGGTCTTAATAGGTAGGGAGGGAAGACCCTGACAGAAAATAAAATTATATACAGGATAGAAAATAAAAGATAAATAAATAGGCAAATAATAAGGGCAAGAGGGGTGTTATGTCCTGGGCCTATGATTGACAGAGCAGATACAGGAAGCTGCAGAGAGACCCGGGCAGACCATGTGGCATGCACAAAGCGGGAAAATATGTTGCATTTATTGGCTGATGCTGTTCCCTTCAAAAGGGTATAAAAGGGATCAGTGCCATTTTGTGTTGTTCTGTTGAAGCTTGAATAAAGAAGTAACTGTTGTTACACCTGCCTTGTCTCAATGCCTTACCAATCCACAGAACAGAACATTGGCGACGAAGGTGGGATCGTGCTGCAAGAAAACAACAAAAGAATACTAGGCTGACTCACCATGGGAAGCTGAAGTGCTTGGAAGTTCAGTGTTCTGACTTGTGCGACTCTGCCTGCCAGTACAAAAATGCTGGAGGAGAGCTCGGCAAGATTCGCCCTGGAACCCCTTCGCAAGCCTGAGCAGCACGAGGCGTTGAATGAGGCCGCCAAGAAGGAACGATGGCTAAGATAGGGAGTTTGTCCGAATTCGATATAACAGAATAACAGAATAACAGATCAGTTCTAAATTGACAAGTGGATTCTGGAAAACTGCAAGAAAATGAAGACTAAATTGAATGGAATGTAGATTGATTACAAATAGGATTCCTATTTATAACTCCCTGTCACATGATCGACTAATCAAGTCCTAGAAATAACAGGAGTCAATAGAAACATCA